GAGGCAGGTGGAGCTAGAGGCCAGCTGAGAATTCCAGGACACCCAGGACTGTTACGCAGAGAAAATCTATCTTGAAAAGCCAAAAAGAAAAAAAAAAAGAAAGAAAGAAAAAAACCCCACCACAACACCCCCTCCCCAAAGAAAACCACCACCACCAAAACACTTTAAAGTGTTGAGCCGTCTCTCTACCCCCAGCTATGCTTTTCTTCATATGACTTTTTCGTTTGCTGCAATTGTTTGGGTGCCTCTCCGCACCTCTGACACTGTGGTGGGAGCCAGGAGAGAGGAAGTTCAGAATGGTTACAAACTTAAGACTTGCTGGGCTGCGAGGCAGCAATGAGTCATAGTGAGAGAAGAGTCAAAGCCAGGGGGCTCGAGCAGACAGCTCCACCGAGTTCAGGTCAAGTCTGAGGCGCTGCAGGCGAGGCAAGGGCCAGATGAAGCCAAGAGGACTGAAGGGTACGCTCTTGAGATGGCGCAGCAGCGCAAGCACTTCTGCGCAAATCTGGTGCGCCGAACTCCAGATGGCACCGGGAAAGGAGGAATGGACATCCGCAAGTTGTCTCCTCCTCATGGGTAACATGGCACACACATGTACCCTACACTGCAATGCCCACCCTAGCTCTCCCCCTTCACACACACACACACACACACACACACACACACACACACACACACACAACCTTTCTCCCTCCCTCCCTCCCTCCCTCCCTCCCTTCCTTCCTTCCTTCCTCCATTCCTTCCTTCTGAGACAGGGTTTCACTGTGAAACAGTCCTGGCTGTCCTGGAACTCACTCTGTAAACCAGGCTGACCTTGAACTCACAGATCCGCCTGCCTCTGCCTCCCAAGTGCTGGGATTAAAAGTGTGTGCCACCACCCCCCACCTAAAATTTAAGAATCTTGCTCAGAGTCTTTAAGAACGAGTAGGGGTGCTTACTGAGTAAGTCACTCAAGGTTTTCATTGGTAACTTGGAACTTTTTCTGTGTGCATCCTGAAACATGCCATGGGATAGACTGTTTTCCAAGGAGCTAAATTAGTGTGACATAGGCATCTTCCTGCAATTTACAGTGCAGTCCTGTTATCTAACAAAAATTTTTATATTATAGAGTCCTCACCCATCCAGAACCACTTATTGTACAAAATATTCATGTATAATTTAAAAAGAAGGTCCACTTACTGTAACTGTGAATTCTACATTATTTAATATATAGACAAAGTCTCCTTATGTAGCCTTTGATGTCTTGGAACTGACTGTCTAGACCAGGCTGGCCTCAAACTCACAGGGATCCATCTGCCTCTTTCTCCCTAGTGCTGGGATTAAAGGCACCACCATGCCTGGCCCTTTAACATTTAATTCACTCATCATCTGTGAGCTCAGGCTGTCCCTGGGAGGTGCCTCCTTACAACCACATTGCTTTGTTTCTTCTTTTGCCTTCCAGATCGTTTGTCCGGTATTAGGTCTTTAAAGAACACTTAGTAAGTTAGACTGTGGGCAAACAAAAATCAATAAAACACTATTCTTGTCGAGGCATTAAAGATCTCATGGGAGAAAGAAACATTTAAACATCAAAGACACAAAGTCAAAAGCAGCAAGACCTGGGGGCCTCGGGGGAACTAGCCACTGGCTCTGGGGACCTCGGGGAACTAGTCACTGACTCTGGGATAATAGTCACAGATGGATTAAGACAAATAACGTCAGAACTGTAAGGAAGGTTACACTGAGAACAAAACTAGTAAGGATCAATCCACAGAGGATAAGATTAGCCACCGGGGAAACGTGTCCAATGCATTGCCTAATTTAAGTACGTTAAAGCGTTTACGCGCTTCAGTTTCTGTTATCCACAGAACTTGCCATGACTTTCCGTTATTCCTGCATGGATTTCCAGTTTTGCCTCGGATTGGTGGTTAGGTAGCTTTTTAAAATTTTAAAATTTGAGAATCACGTGAGATGATGCATAAATACTCAGCAGAGTCTCCTTTTGAACCAGTTCTGCCCCCCCCAACCCAACCCCAGCCCTCTACCCGCCTCAATCCTGGGGTTAGCCTTGCCGGCGGGCTCTCCGCGAGACTCTGCCCCTAGGAGGCGCTCCAGGGAGGCCGGAGAGGGCAGGGCCGCTGCTGATCCCGCCTGCAGCTTTGTCCCCATAAACCGCAGTCCCTTTCTAGTAGTCCGGTTTGCAATTTTGGCTGCACCGGCAGAACTGGCTTCACCGCGCCGGGTGCAGAGAGCGAGCGTCAGCAGAGTTCTAATTTAGGCAATCCCGGCTCCTTTCTCTCTCCCCTCTCCCAGCGCTACAGTGATAGCTGCTTCCTACATTTGAGATATAACTTTAAGGAAGGGACGTTTGCCAAAAGCTGGAGAAGTGCTTGGGTTGTTAGAACTCAGGGCAAGCGAGACAGCGATGTCCGTACCTGCTGGGTTGAGGCCACGTAGGCTTCGAAATAAACATCCTATTGCACACAGGATAGCAGTAGCAGGGCTGGGAAACCCCGTTTTCCTGCTGTTTTTAACCCCTCCGGTTAAAGATGTAGTATAACCACTAGAGACTATGCATAGTTAAAATGCCACAGAGAAACCCTGTCTCGAAAAACCAAAAAAAAAAAAATGCCTTTAAAAACAAAAAGAGGAGAGAGAGAGGGAAAGGGGGGGAAAGAGAGGAAGGAAGACAAAGAAAGAAAGGGAAAGAAAAACAAACGACAAAAAGAACGGGCTTGGTGGCACACACCTTTAATCTCCAGCAGAGGTCCGAGGATTTCTGTGAGTTTGTTGTCTGCCTGGTCTGCAAGGCTAGTTCGAGAACTGCCAGGGCTGTTTAAAAAAAAAAAAAAAAAAAAAAAAAGAGTATTGGATCTCTCCATCAAATAAGTATCTGTCGTGGCTTTAACTTAATCCCGCTAATTCAGCTTTCACACTCGCTACAAAAGCAATTAGTCTGGGCATGGTGGCCCAAGTGAGTCATCAAATGGGAGCAGGGGGATCGTCTCCATCTGACTGGGCGAATTGTATAGAAGTTCATCTGGTTAATTTTGATGTGTGGTGTGTTTATTTATTTGTCAGGTTTGATTTTTTCTTCTTTTTTATGGTGTTTTGCCTGCCTGTATATGACTATGTGCCGATGTCAGATGCTATGGAACTGGAGTTACAGACAGTTGTGTGCTTCCTTGTGGGTACTGGGAATTGAACCAGGGTCCTCTGGAAGAGCAGTCAGTGCTTTTAGCCGATGGACCATCACTCCAGTCCCTATTTGCAAGGTTTAAAAAAGTAAAGTTTATAAAATTAAAAAAGGTATTAACTAGGGGAAACATAAGCCTTCATATTTTAAGACCCCCAAAATAATGAACTGTAAATGATTTATGAATTGAATCCTTATTGCAAAATCTTCTTGTCTTTACTTATTTGTTATGGATCAAATCTGGGACATACCAGGTGATTGTTCTACCAGTAAACCGTTAATATCCCCAACCCAGGAATTAAATTTTCAGGTCTCATGATAAGAACTACATTTATTAGCAGGACATGGTAGCAAAGACCTTTAATTCCATCACTTGGGAGGCAGAAGCAGGTGGATCTTTTTGAGTTCAAGCCCAGCCTGGTCTACAGAGTGAGTTCAAGGACTACATAGAGAGACCCTGTCTCAGAAAAAAATTAGATACAGTACATAAATAAGAAGTAGTGAGGGAGCTGGAGAGATGGCTCAGTGGTTAAGAGCACTGACTCTTCTTCCAGAGGTCCTGAGTTCTGTTCCCGGCAACCACAGGCGGAGAAGTGGTAGTTCTCACCATAACCTCATCAACATTATTTTATACAATCCATATTCATTTATCGTTTTGAAATATAGTCGTATATGCTACGCAATATACAACTCTATAAACATTACATGGTGGAAACCTCAGGCTGGCTGTTGGCTGGCATATTTTATTTGGTCTCCTTTGTTTAACCAATGTTGCAAAACTGCACTATTTTGTATAAAAGTCAGATTCAGTGAAGACAAAACCTCCTTTGCATACGGTGATAGGCAGCTATGCTCAAACACTGCTTGGCAAGATGTGTGCTTCCCGTTTTGACATAGGCCCCGCTGTCTGAGTATTCTTGCCCAAGGCTGCTTTCTTTCACCGTGTGCGTTACTGACTTTGCTCCTCTGCACATTGCCTTCTGGAGCCCTGTTCCAAACCCCACCCTCAAAATGCCAAGGGTGGGTCCTCCCTCCCCTAGAGTCCCCTCAGTACAGACTCTGCTCCTAAAATGCTCACCATTGGCTGCTCCACCCCCAAGGGCATTAAAAGCCTCCACCTCTGGATTCACCTTGTGGGTCCTGGTTTTCTGTTCCCCCATGGGCCACCCAGGAATGCTTTGCTCAGATTAGACCTGGGTTTATTAATTCGGTCTAATTGGCTTATTGTATCACTGGTGGCGGGTTTCCAGTAACCTTTCCATTAACCAGGACTTTTAAACATAACAGATGGTAGGAGACAAGCATTATTATCTTCTTTGCCATGCTATCACCAACCCACAAAACAACAAAGGCATTTTCCAAAAAGGCCCAGGTTCAGGAGTGACATGAACCTGGAGCCACAATTTTAAGTGAACAAAGAGAAAGGGTAGTGTTCCTTATGTCTCAGGCACTGATCCAGGCAATCCATGTGTATGACTTTGTCTAACCCTTGTAACGGTGCAATGAAATAGGGAATTGCTGATGCAATTCCATATTGAAGGAACCAAGCCGGGCTGAGGAGGTGTCTGGTGGAGGGCTCACTGGGCATGTGCAAAACCCTCAGTTCAGTTCCCTACACTCCAGAAAACCCCGTGTGGGTTGTGCATGCCTGTAATCCCAGCAGGCAAAGATCCAGGCCAACCTCAGCTATATAGAGAGTTCAAGGCCAGCCTGTGGTGCACGGGACTCTGGCTCAATAGGTTAATGAGCAATAAAAAAATTTAAAAAGAGAAATAAAAGAAATCAAGGCACAAAATGGTCAAAGAACTTCAACAAGCCAACTAAATTGAGGAGTAATTTTTTATATTTAAGAATAACCCATACAGTGTGTTCAGATGACTCTTCTACCAGCTGGGACGTTCTGCTTGAAGAGCCAGCTCAAACCAGCCTTGAAAACAGAACATTTTCAAATGTAAACCATCTGGTTCACACAGCCAAACCGCCGGATGCCTGCTTTGGCGCTGGCTCACCGGTTGACTACAACGAGCCTCCTCCTCCGATTTCCGTTTCCCTTTGTGTGTTGACTTCATTCTCCCAAATCCCTTTAGGTGGCGGAGTTTCGAGGAGAGCTGCGGCGGGGACTCGCTTTCAGTGTGTGTGTTAGGGCGCACTCTCCGTGTTCTCCGGGAGAAGAAGCAAGTCTGGGCAGAAGAGAAAGTGAAGCTGTGATGCTCAAGGGACAGCTGAGAAAGAGCCAGAACACAGCACTAAAAGCGAGACAAAGGAAACACGGCCCAAAGGCTTTCCCATGGCCCCGAGTCGGACCTCAGCAGTGACAGTGTGCGGCCTTGTCTGTAGTTCGGGTACTGACCTCTGTTACTGCAATGTCACAAGGGAACCAAGCGCACACATACAAACGAGGGTTCGTTATTTCACAGAGAAAATGTCACTGCCACGAGGGCCAGATTCTCCAGCCTTCGTCAGAGAGAATTCTCTCCTTCGTGGTGACTCCCAAATTTTGTGCAGTCTGTAGGAAGACAAGAAAAGGAGGCCGTGAACACACAAGTGATTGCAACCATAAACCGGCTGAAGTCACTGGACACCAACGGTTAGACGGCAGCGCCACCCTGTGGTGCTCCGCATCCGGACCGTGAGCTGAGGGAAGAGGATGGCTCGGGGAAGGAGCAGTTTTTGTGATGCACCAGGGAAAGGGAAGGGCAGTCCCTCTTTCCCACACTGAATTCACATTTTCCGGATTTATTAACGCCCTCACCCCGTTCCGGTGTTGCTGGCCTGTGAGTCGCCTATCTAAGCTGACCTCTGAGCATTTAATGTAATGCGTTTGTCCCACACAGTACTCGGGGCAGTTCTCCATCTACTCCGTGTATAGCCCACGTGGCTTACTACTGTTAGAAGAATCCAGAATGTGGTGCCAGTCCAGCCCTCTGGTGAGGCTGCTGCAGGTGGCACTGTGCTCATGCCCTCCTTTCCTGTGTTGCCTGAGCAACAACCCATGCCGTTGCTCTCTGCATCTGCCACCTTTAGACACCCAGGGGCCGCTAAACATCTGCTTCTCTCCGAGGGCATGTCTAGCTCTTGAGTCCCTTGCTTCAGCTGGGACAGTTGAACCACATTCCTGGCTCACCCATTGTGAGTTTGCAGAAGATGCTTTGCTACCCACCATTTGGTTCAGAGTCCGCCGTTAGAGAACTGGTGTCTGCTTAGCTCTTGAGTGGCAGGTCTAAAACTGCACCAAATCTCCACTCTGTGTCTGGCTTTTGGTCATCTCTCCCAGAAGGGAGCCTTGCTCTCCCAAACTCCTCATTCTGTCCTCTCTGACTTCTGTTATAAGGCCAGCATCTTAAGAGAAGAACCCAAACTCTTACTGAGGCAACTCCCCTTCCATCCCAGAACAAAAACAAGCCAGTCTGACAGGCTTCCCTGGCTATGGGCTCCTCTTTTCCATGGCACAGTATCCTCACAGGTTATGTTCCGGTCTCCGTTAAAAAGGACGCACCCTTCAGAGAAGAACTGGCAAATACCCCCCCCCCGTCATTGGCAGGTGTCTGGGGTGTGATACACTCAGTCAGCACTTTGTTCCATTGTTGAATAGATGGTGACTGTGGGACAATTCAGGAAAATTGTAGAGGGTTAGGGGAAAATTATATTGAGAGGTTTTGTTTGTTTTTTTTTTTGTTTGTTTGTTTGTTTTTTGTTTTTCGAGACAGGGTTTCTCTGTGGCTTTGGAGGCTGTCCTGGAACTCACTCTGTAGACCAGGCTGGCCTCGAACTCACAGAGATCTGCCTGCCTCTGCCTCCTGAGTGCTGGGATTAAAGGCGTGTGCCATCAACTCCCGGCTACATTGAGAGTTTTTAATGCATTCAAATTTTAGAGTAATCTGTTACTTCTACCCACGGGTTTCTAAGTGTGTGTGTGTGTGTGTGTGTGTGTGTGTGTGTGTGTGTGTGTGTGTGTGTGTATTCCATGGCAATTCTCTGTTCAGTTTCTCCTGGACTACCGACTCCTCTGGTCTACAGCTTATTATTTCTCACCCTCGAGTTTAATTCTTAGCAACACTAGGAAAATATTGTTCACTCACTGTCCAAATATGTCCTGCCCTTTTCACTTCAAATCTTCCTCTCATTATGCCGAAAATAGCGTCCTCATTTTCCCCTGCCTCTCCTGGTTGGGTCTACAATTTCCATTTGTCCTTACATTTCCATCCAGCGATGTGGCAGACATCTCTAAGCCTCGTGTCCAGCTGGGTTGTCTTTTGTGCCTGCCCAGCAGCTCTTGCAGGTGCCCACCCGTGGTGGTCCAAGCATCTCTGCAAACCAAACCGCTTATGTAACCAGAGACATAAATTGGTCCCAGGACTCCTGAAGCAAGTTACTGAAATAACAATCTCTTTGTTGCAGACCCATTTCCACTGGGCAGTTTTTACAGCACGCTTATGCAACAGCAGCCCCATCAGCGGAAGTTGTAGGGATGAATAAACATAGAGTGATATTTACAGTGAATAAATCATTTAATCTATTATGTAAGTATTTAAAAATACTAGCGTTTCTCTTAAGAACTTGTGAGGTTCAGAAAATCTATACCTGATCTTAGCAAACAGGCTGAGAAGTGAAGTTTCAGAAACCCAAAGGCAGACTTGGGAAATAATTAAAACAAATGTGAAAAATAAGCACCGCTGGGAACATTCTCACTCTTGGACTCGTTTTGATTTTCAGCTTGTCACTCTGCAACTCTCAGCAAAGTCAGTGAGTTAAATACATGTCCACAAACAAAGTTTTTGTTAAGTAGGAGTTTATTCCACTCAAAAGTCACTATTTTATCACAAGATGTCCACTTATGCACTGAGAGTATAAATGAGGAAGAAAACTACACCGGCCATTTCAACTCTATTCTAATAGTAGGTGTCTTAGGAAGATTTCATGTTCCTATAACAAATGCCCGAGACAAATAACTTACTGGGAGGAAAGGTTCAGTTTGGCTTACAGTTCTACAAGTGGTAGTCCAAAATCAGATGACCTTATTCTTTGTGCCTCTGGCAAAGATGTGGTGAGGCTATCCTCTTACTTCTTCTTCTTCTTTTTTTTTGGGGGGGTGTTTCGAGACAGGGTTTCTCTGTATTGTTTTAGAGGCAGTCCTGGAACTAGCTCTGTAGACCAGGTTGGCCTCAAAGTCACAGAAATCCACCTGCCTCTGCCTCCCAAGTGCTGGGATTAAAGACGTGTGCCACCAATGCCCGGCTTCCTCTTACTTCTTAAGCAGGAAGACACTGAAGTATTGGGGTCCTCCAGTTCCCTCCTAAGACATGCCACTAACGACCCAAGGATCTAAGGCTTTATGAAGTCATGCCTCTTAAAGGGCTCATCACTTCTCAGTAAATCCACGCTGTCTACACTTTTAACAAAGGAACCTTTGGTGACTACTACCTGTACTCAAACTATAGTGTATATGTGTGCATGTATGTATGCATGCATGTGTGTGTTGCACCCTTCCCCCATGGGAGTCTGCTGATCAGTTTGTGACTAGGAGCTTCTAACAAAATACCTCTTGTCTCCTCTGCCCAGTGTAGCCTGAATGCTAGTTCCTGTTTTCCACCCATCCTTATTGTCTAAATTCAAGTTCCTATTGTCCGCCCATCCTTTGCTGGAAGGCCCTGGGAATGTGAGCTCCTGACCTTGGTAGACCTTGGTAGTTTTCCACTGTGCCTGCTATTGGTATTTAACTCTCTTGTTACAATAAATACCTTTCTCCTTGCAAGAATGAGCAGATGTCTTCATTTAAATCCTTAACCCTTCGCCCGGATCATTGAGAAGTGTTGTAGCCTAGCACTGTAACTGAACCAGATTGCTACATGTGTGTATTCATGCACATACGTATGTATGCATGTATGCATACGTATGTATTCATGCACATATGTATGAATATGCATATATTATGCATGTATGCATGCATGTATGTGTTTACCTTTGCTAAGGCTTGAACCCAGGACCTTGTACCACCATGCTACATCACCAGCCCATAACCCATTATGATTATTATGATTATTGTTTATGTCCATGTATGTGTAAAGGTACAGTGTGTGTGTGTGTGTGTGTGTGTGTGTGTGCATACCCGCACACGAGTGCATGTATGTGTGTAGGCTAGATGGTTAGAGCACAACCTTGCCTGTCATTCCTCAGGAGTTATCTGTCCATCTTGGCTTTTGAGATAGGCTCTCTCTCTTGACTGGAACACACCCATTAAGCTAGGTTGGTTAGCCAGCAAGCCCTGGGGGTTGCCTGTCTCTGTGTCCCCAGCCCTGGGATTACAAGCCATCAAGGCTACTTTTTCACTGGGTTCTGGAGATTGAACGTGGATCTGAATGTTTGCATGACAAGCACTTTACCCATGGAGTCACCTTTCCAATCAATATACTTGTTTTTTAAATGGTGAATACACATACCTGGACTCATTATATTTTATTTATTTGTTATTAATTTATTTTGAGGCAAGGTCTTGTTACATAGCTCTGGTTTGCCGAGAACTCACTATATAGTCCAAATTTGCCTCAAATGTATAATCCCTTTACCTCAGCTTTCTGAATGTTGGGGTCATAGGCAGGCACCACCATCCCTTCCTTTTCTGCTAACAAGTAGATTTGTTTTTTGTGAATTCTTTTTCTTACATTTTTAAAATTTAAATTAGAAACAAGCCTGCTTCACATGTCAATCCCAGCTCCTTCTCCCTCCCCTCCTTCCCTGCCCCCCCTTCAGCCCCCCCAACCCCCACCCAATCCCCACTCCACTCTCCAGGGAAGGTGAGGCCCTTCATGGGGGATCTCCAAAGTCTGTCAAGTCATCCAGGGCAGGGCCTAGGCCCTCCCCCCATATGTCCAGGTTGAGACAGCATCCCTCCACGAGGAATGGGCTCCCAAAGTCCATCTGAATGCCAGGCATACATGCTGATCTATTGCCCAAGGCCCCAAAGAATGCCGAGGCCTCCTCACTGACACCCATGTTCAGGGGGTGGATCAGTCCCATGCTGGCCTCTCGGCTATCAGTCTGGGGTTCATGAGCTCTCCCTTGTTCTGGTCAGCTGTTTCTGTGGGTTTCACCTGCCAAGTCTTAACCCCTTTGCTCATCACTCCTCCCTCTCTACAACTGGTTTCCAGGGGTTCAGTTCAGTGTTTAGCTGTGGGTGTCTGCCTCTGCTTCCTTCAGCCACCGGATGAAGGCTCTAGGATGGCATACAAGGAAGTCATCAATCACATTATCGGGGAAGGGCATTTAAGGTAGCCTCTCCACTATTGCTTAGATTGCCATTTGGTGTCATCCTTGTAGGTCTCTGGACATCTCACTAGTGCCAGATCTCTCCTCAAACCTATAATGGCTCCTTCTATTATGATATCTCTCATCCTTCTCTCCTCTATTCTTCCCCAACTCATCCTTCCTACTCCCCCATGTCCTTCTCTCCCTTCCTTTTCTCCCCCTCTCCTGTTCCTGGCTCCTTCTCCCCTGCCCCCATGCTTCCAATCTGTTCAGGAGATCTTGGCTCATTCCCCTTCTCTGGGGTACCACGAATGTCTCTCTTAGGGTCCTCCCTGTTTCCCAGACTCTTTGGCTGTGGGATTGTAGGCTGGCACTCCCCTGTTTCATGCCTAAAATCCATGTATGAGAAAGTACATACCACGCTTGTCTTTCTGTGACTGGGTTACCTCACTCAGGATGGTTTCTTCTAGTGCCATCCATTTGCCGGCAAATTTCAAGATTCCACTAACAAGTAGATTTTAAAAGATCTATTTTCTCTGCTCACTTAAGGAAACTTAAAGTGGTGTAAGTCGCCGGGCGTTGGTGGCGCACACCTTTAATCCCAGCACTTGGGAGGCAGAGGCAGGCGGATCTCTGTGAGTTCGAGGCCAGCATGGTCTACAAGAGCTAGTTCCAGGACAGCCTCCAAAGCCACAGAGAAACCCTGTCTAGAAAACCCCAAAAAAAAAAGAAAAAAAAAGTGGTGTAAGTCGCTAGCCCCTTCAGGAAGCACACCTTGTTCCTGCCATGTCAGTGATCCCTTGTTCCTCCCTCTCCTCGTCACTCATCGCATGGGCTGCGTTTTAACTGTCCCTCCACCTCCCTGTCACTCTCAGTGAGCTGTGGACTTCTTTGCATTTTTATTTACCTATTTCTACATATATGTGTGTGCTTATGTGAGTTTATGGAGACCACATGTATGTAGAAGCCTAAGGAGGCCAGAAGAGGGCATTGGTTCTGCTTGGACTAAGTTCTGAGGGTTGTAAGTTGTCATGTGGGTGTTGAGAACCAACCGTAGGCCCTCTGCAAGAGTCCTTAACCACTAAGGTATTTCTACAGTCCTGGGCTGTGAACTCTTTTGGGGAGGGCCTGTTAATTTTTCACTGACCTTTCCCTATCCCCCAACCCAAAGCTAAGATAAATTTGTGCTCAGTAGATATCTGTTCAGAAGCAGGTGGCTGATGAAAACCCGGCCTTCAAGGCAGCCGGCCCG